TGTATAGTTCTGATGTGTTGTATATGTTCTCTCACTGTTTCTATTAAAACTTTACTTTGCTTCTTGTGTCTTTGTTTACTTCCTACTTGTATGTTTAACAATATAACAAAGTCAGATTTAAATCAACTGTGGATCCTTCAGCTCTCAACTGAAGAACACTTCAGTTCCCAGGTTGGTCAACACATACGGGAAGTCTACTTACATCTGATGCTGGTGGAGAAAATATATGTTCAATATCTGGGTGTCTTTAAGAGATGTTTCGCCCACCACGGGCCTTAATAGTTTAATACAGATATGAGAAAGGAGCAGCAGCAGTAGTAGTAGTAGTAAGCAAGGCATGCTAAAGGAGTTATGACCGAATTTCATGATTGTGGAAATAATGGTCAGGTTTGATAGTGCGTTGTAGTAGTCATGTAAGTTTGAGCAAGGACTGCTAGTGCAGATGTAACACAATAGATGGGTGTGTCGACATTTTAAGCGTTACCTGAGAGACGTTGACAACTCCCATGTTTTGCACTCTGGTGTTGGATGAAGTGATTCTGAACATCTATATTCCTAATGGTGATTCTGAACATCTATATTCATTCCTAATGGTGATTCTGAACATCTATATTCCTAATGGTGATTCTGAACATCTATATTCCTAATGGTGATTCTGAACACCTATATTCCTAATGGTAATTCTGAACATCTATATTCCTAATGGTGATTCTGAGCATCTATATTCCTAATGGTGATTCTGAACATCTATGTTCCTAATGGTAATTCTGAACATCTATATTCCTAATGGTGATTCTGAGCATCTATATTCCTAATGGTGATTCTGAACATCTATATTCCTAATGGTGATTCTGAACTTCTGTATTCCTAATGGTAATTCTGAACTTCTATATTCCTAATGTTCTTCCTTCATGACCCAATTTATAGTGTCCTATGTATAACGCATGCGTTAGTTATGTTATTTCTCCTGTATGTTTATTTATGAACGTAACAGAGAGAACTAACGCATGCGTTATACATAACTGACATGGACACACAAATTTGAATAGAACGAAAATTATGATAAAAGAACAACAACTCCACAAATTTAGATGTTTAGAATCCTGTATTATCACATCCAGCATCGCAGTACAAAACATTGACTTTCAATATCTCTGAAGTTCTGCCAAAATGGCTTACAAATAACACACAACGACACTAGCATGCCTTGCCCTACCTATGTTACTACTACTACAACTATGTTGAAGATTAAGACACATGTGCAACACTTGGGTATCTTTATTGATGAAACGTGTCGCGTACACAGGTAGGCTTCTTCAGTCAGATATAAAGGGAGCAGTAGTAATGAAATATAGATGATGTAATCAGTCCGTCATCCTTGAAAAAGAAGTATTTGAGGTGGTCAGTCCTTCAGCCTAGAGAAGAGTTCAGCTTCATGGTCTGGAACGATATGAAGCTGAAACATGAGAACTGGATCTTTAAGACTTCGTTATTATGCTTCAACTTCACATTATTCCAGATCATGGAATTGAACTCTTCTCCAGGCTGAAGGACTGACCACCTCAGATATTTTTTCTCCGAGGTTAATGGACTGATTACATCTTTATTTCATTACTGCTGCTCCTTTTGTATTTGACTGAAGAAGCCTAGTGTGTAGGAGAAACGTTTCATCAATAAAGATACCCAACTGTTGCACATGTGTCTTAATCTTCAACTCGTAGTGCTGAAAACTGTATAAAATACCGACAACTATGTATGCTGGACATCCCCACACATCATCTTACCCGACCCATGAATAAAAATGTCCCACCTACTTCCACCAAGACAAAATATAGTAAGAAAGAGAAGTCAGTGTTTGGTACACAAAGGCAGATAGGATGTCAACAAAAGTGGTGTATAAATGAACATTATGGCTATTATGTCCAGTGACATCATTGGACATAATAGATATAACGAAGACAAAATCAGAGTAATGTGGATTTTAATAGTTTCTCGTCTACTGAGGTCGGGCTTATTGGTCGGCAGTTCGATGGTCGAGACTTCCCATTATTTTTATTTTTTTTTTAGTAGAATTCATATTTGCCATCGTGTACATCTGCACGATACTCGCTCGTAGTCACGCATTATAGAGATAAATCTGGCTCACTAACAATTATTAGAAAGTTAACACATTTCCCTTTCATTAATTATCAGTAATACATGTTGAGATTTAGTTTTCAGTGGACCCCAACATTTTATCCTAATGTGTTTTGTGTACATGAAAGAATCATTCCTGATTTGTCATGGACTCTTATGCAATTTTATTTTTATAATCACGTTTTGCTTTTCTTACAACCCCCCCTCCCTCTTTTTACGTCTATTTTAGCATGAGCACATTGTTCCACGAGGTGACTGCCTTTTTTCCTGAGGTCTCGAAAATTTCTATTTTCTTCCCTAACGAATATTTTAGTCTTCTCTCCATCTATGTTTTTCTAATATCTCTGGGGTATACATGTTGTTTATGTGTGTGTGCGTATGTGTACAATATATATATATATATATATATATATATATATATATTATATATATATATATATATTATATATATATATATATATATATTATATATATGCAATAAGATCACAGTAAACAGGTGATTTCAGAATATGCAAAACAACCACTCTGAAAGAATAGAGAAATTCCAAGCGCTTTCGTGACTACTCACATTATCAAGGAACTATGAAAGTAAAGCATCCAAGGAAGCTATATAAGGGGTCTGGCCAACACCTCACTTTCAGATCTCACAACGGTTAAACACCTGACGCGCGCCGACCCAACTGGATAGGTCCTTTGCACAACTCACCCACAAACTATTCTACCCAAGAAAATTTAAAAATTATTATTTGTCCAGTGTATTATTAAATTCTTCCCAAATTCTATTAATTATAAATGGATCTAATTTATATAAACCAAAGGAAATATTCATATTATTGTCAAAACTGCTTTTTATGAAACAAGATTCAATTATATTCCTGTCGACCATGGACTTGCTTGATACTACTTTCTCAACTTTTTGAAAATCAATTGGATGGTTAAAATCTCTTACATGAATAAATAGAGCATTGGAATCTTGTCCAGTTCTAATGCTATATTTATGTTGTTTTAATCTTAGTTCGAGATTTTTACCAGTTTGACCATAATAAACTTTATCGCAAATTTGACAAGGAATCTTATACACACATCCATCAGCATTTTGGGGGGAATTCTTTATCAAAAGTTTTTTTTACTGTATCAAGATTTTTGAATACAACTTTAATATTAAAAGTCTTAAGAAGAGAAGGCACATCAAAAAAGTTTTCATGGTAAGGGAGAACCAACATATTTTTAGTTGAATAAGGCTGGTTGTCCCTTTTTGGATTGTAAAAAGTATTTCTAGCAACTTTAAAAGATTTATCAATTACATTTCTTGGGTATTTTAAATCATTACCTATTTCATAAATTTTGGATATTATTTCCTCATCTATGAGTGGTTGTTTTGCATATATATATATATATATATATATATATATATATATATATATATATATATATATATATATATATATATATTTATTTATACTGTATATGAGATGGTCACTTAATCCCGGCAGTAAATTAATAACGACTGTAGAAAGTTGGCAGTGATAATAGGAAATGTAAACATTGCACGAGACTGGTGCTGATATCATGGACTGATAACTATGTCAACGACTTTATATCTTCAAAGACCTGAATAAACAAATAATTCTCGTGCTTAGTTATGCAAATATAATCAAATAATTACGTTAAGAAAGCTAAACCTTCAGCACTAAAAAATCGAAGAGCCAGAGGAGACGTAATAGTGTACATGATACTCAATAAAGTGGATAGGAAAACACTGATATACGAAGCAATATAATGAAAACGAAGACTTAAAGACGAAGTTGAAAGGGACTAAATGAGTGAAAATGAGAATTCATTGTTAGTAGTGATCAACTGGAATGTGTTCGCAAGTGTGTGTGTGTTTTCAGCAGAAAAAACTAATGTTTTCTGTGTGATTAGCTAGGTTGTGCAAGGTGTGCTAGCCACTAGCAACCACAGTCTACTTGGCCAGTCTATGACACCCCAGGTTGAGCACAGACATACGGTTTGCACACAGATTTCTCGATCGATTATATTGTCCTTTATCCATAAAATAACCCTTTTTAACATAAGTTAAAAAATGTGCTAAATACGCTACACAATTCTCTCAGCCACAGATTTATGGAGAGCTACATATTCTTATTATCATTAATTGTCTGTTGGTTCTCCTCGTAATTGCTAAATTTGTTGTTTGTAAATCCTTAATGTTCTTATATATTACCAATTAATAACTATATTGCCATTGCAGTCTTAAGTTAGACTCTAAGGTTACCCGAAATGCTCTGCATAACTATGGACTTTCTGAATGCGCAACTAAATGTTATCCATTTAGTTGTGCAGACATTGTATCATGCATAAATAAAATTATGTCAGAAGGGAAACAAATATTAATATAAGATAAAGAGGATGATAAGTTGTGCAACGCACAGCAGAAAACTGCCATCACTGAACGAGGTAGACGTAACTACGTCAGATCTTTACTGTTAAAAGCTACATTCATCGGTCAGCCATTTAACTGTCTTTACAACAGTGAAATGATGACTGTGACTAGGAGGATGGGCTGGGACTGCTGGGATAGAAAAATTGGTGGAAACCTGTCACAGGACCGAGAGTAAGTTACTCAAGATAGTAAGTAGGTAAACAAACAAGCAAGTCTAGGTGAACACACACGCTATTTTGTTGCTAGATTTAATGAGAACTTTAATGTAATAAAAGGAACTATTTACCCCGTGGAATTCCTACTGGTACGAGTGTGATAATTATTTGTGATAATGCAGCATGTTGCATGGCTAGGTAGTACCACCTCCCACCATACACCGCTAATGACTTAGATAAGAACTGATAAAAAGGGAGCTTTTACTCCGAAACCACCATTATTAGGGAGTGTTCTCTGGCGGAATAAACAACTTGCACGCTCCTTGCACTCGAGCCTAGAGTACTCGTCAGCAGGGCGCTAATACCATTTGTTAGGAGCTGTGTGTGTTGGAGTGAAGCAGACGTCAGTGAGAGATCAACTTAAGTTGGACGTCAAGATGACTATGATGCAGCGTTATGTTGACGTCTTCCTCAGCCCCTCCACACAACACTACTTTACCAACAACACCATGGTAAGTCCACCTCAGTATCACTGTGATGTCTTTGAGGACAATTGTACTCCAAAGGTCTGAGCAAAGCTCAGACCTCTGCAGCACAATTGTCCACAAAAATTTGTTAAGTTATACCATGAATTAAGGGAAGATCCTGGACTTCACCTTACGAAACAGACAAAGCAAATATGATAGTAATTATGGACAATGTAAATTATAGTGAAAAAATGAACATGTTATTAGAAGACATGGGTACTAATTTCACCAAGCAGACTATACAACTGGAAGAATACATTCACGTTTAACCCACAAATAACCCAGATTACATGATCTTTTGATCTGAATAAATGGTGAATTGTTCAATAATCGATCGGTACTCAATCGTTATTAAATATAAAAGGTACAATACCGTGACTTCCTTCTTTCTTCCTCTCTGCTCCCTCTCCTTAGTGTGTGAGTGTGACTTGTAAATGATACAAGTCGGACCGAAACGTCATAAGCTTCTTTCTCCTATGTGCAGGTTATTTGTCTAAATTATTATTATATTTAATAGTGAATTGTTCAGTAATTGGCCCGTACTAGATCATTATTTAATAGTGAATTGTTCAGTAATTGGCCCGTACTAGATCATTATTTAATAGTGAATTGTTCAGTAATTGGCCCGTACTAGATCATTATTTAATAGTGAATTGTTCAGTAATTGGCCCGTACTAGATCATTATTTAGTAGTGAATTGTTGTAGCCATTCTTGGAAAGAGTAAGTTCATTAAGATGCTTGGTTCACAGAATACCTTCATTAATCTGCCTTTCCAGTAACTCTGTTAAAGTTTCTGTTAAATCACTCTGATAGTTTCGTGTAAATTAACGGCACTTTCTTAAGATTTAGAAGTTCCGTGATCTTTGTCAGTTTTAAGATGGTGGTGGTTGTGACAGTGATGGTGGTGGTGATGGTGGTTGTGACAGTGATGGTGGTGGTGGTTGTGACAGTGATGGTGGTGGTGGTGGTTGTGATGGTGGTGGTGATGGTGGTTGTGACAGTGATGGTGATGGTTGTGACAGTGATGGTGGTGGTGGTGGTTGTGACAGTGATGGTGGTGGTGGTGGTTGTGACAGTGATGGTGGTGGTGGTGGTTGTGACTGATGGTGGTGGTGGTGGTTGTGACAGTGATGGTGGTGGTTGTGACAGTGATGGTGGTGGTTGTGACAGTGATGATGGTTGTGATGGTGGTGGTGGTTGTGACAGTGATGGTGGTGGTTGTGACAGTGATGATGGTGGTTGTTACAGTGATGGTGGGTGTGACAGATGGTGGTGATGGTTGTGACAGTGATGGTGGTGGTGGTTGTGACAGTGATGATGTTGGTGAGGGTGGTGGTGGTTGTGACAGTGATGATGTTGGTGATGGTGGTGGTGGTTGTGACAGTGATGGTGGTGGTTGTGATAGTGGTGAGAGTGGTGGTGGTTGTGACAGTGATGGTGGTGGTGAGAGTGGTGGTGGTTGTAACAAGTGATGGTGGTAGTTGTAACAAGTGATGGTGGTGGTTGTAACAAGTGATGGTGGTTGAAACAAGTGACGGTGGTGGTATTGTGTCAGTGATGGTAGTGGTACTGTTGGAAGTCAGTGATGGTGGTGGTTGTGAGAGTGGTGGTGGTGGTTGTGACAAGTGATGGTAGTGGCAGTACTTCTGGTTGTGTCAGTAGTGGTGGCTGTTATACAAATGTTTGTGACAGTGTAGGTGGTTGTACTAGTAGTTGTGACAGTGATGGTTGTACTAGTGGCTGTTGTGACAGTGATGATGGTTGTTGCGACAGTGATGGTTGTACTAGTGGTTGTGACAGTATCGGTGGTTGTAATAGTTGTGACAGTGATAGTTGTACTAGTGGCTGTTGTGACAGTGATGGTGGTTGTACTAGTGGTTGTGACAGTAATAGTGGTTGTAATAGTTGTGACAGAGATGGTTGTGACAGTGATGGTGATGGTACTAGTGGTTGTGACAGTAATGGTTGTAATTGTGACAGTGATGGATGTTGTGACAGTGGTGGTTGTACTAGTGGTTGTTGTGACAGTAATAGTGGTTGTACTAGTGGTTGTTGTGACAGTGATGGTGGCTGTATTAGTGGCTGTGACAGTAATGGTGGTTGTACTAGTGGTTGTGACTGTGAGTCAGGTGTAGTTCACCTCCATGTGTTATACTTTACTCTCAAACCTTCTGTGGTGGTGGTGACAACCCTATGTGGTAGTTTTGTTTCACCAGTATGGAGCTATTAACATGTAACTATTTCACCAGTATGTGTTATTAACACCCTTATATACATTGTGAAGTATTCTATAACTATATTCCAATATCAGCTACATTTTAATATTTGTACAATAATTATTGTACATTCTTAATGTATATTATGTTTGCAGGTTGGTATATGGTGGCGTCAGCTCTCTTCCTACTTCTGGCATTCACATTTCTGGCTACCCAGTGGAATAGAATGGGAGGACATCGCTCCCACTGAAGAACTGAAGTACCCTAACTTCCAGGACGTGTTGGTGTACCCTCTCTTGCTGAGTGTTGTCTTCATCTCCCTCAACTTCCTCCTGGAACCCTTCATCTTCGGGCCCCTGGCGCGGGCAGCAGATATACCAAACAAGCGGCCATGTCCGCCTCCGCCCAGCAAAATCTTAGAACGGCTTTATTATCGCCATGGAATGAAATTACCCGAGAAAGCGCTGCTGGAGGCTTGCAGCAGTACAGATATGACGGTGCGACAAGTGGAAAGATGGTTACGTCGCCGTTATGTTGCTACCCAAACTTCCAAGTATGATAAGTTTGTAGAATGTGGGTTTAATGTCATTAGCCACATTGTTTTGACCACATATGGCGTTTCCATCATGGTCTCCAAACCATGGTTATGGGACATTTCTAACTGCTGGGAGAATTATCCCTATCATTATATTGATGATGATGTATGGTGGTACTACACTATTGGTCTGGCGTATTTCTGGTCGGCTACGTTCCTTCAGATCCTTGGGCCAGGACGCAGCGTGTTTGATAAAATGCAGATGATGCTTCACCACGTGTTTACAATTCTTCTCATGGTGTTCTCCTGGACGTGTAACTTCGTTAGAATAGGCACTCTGGTATTACTAGTTCATGAGTGTGCAGACATCCCTTTACTTATTGCTAAAATGCTTGTTTACGCTAACAGGAAATTTCTCACGGATGCGATATTTGTAATATTTTTGATAAGTTGGGTAATAACTCGAAATTACCTCTATCCTTTCTGGATCATGCGCAGTGCATTCTTCGATTCTCAGGGCTACACCAAAATGCCAGCAGCTTACCTATTAAAAAGTTTGCTGTGCGGTCTGCTGCTGTTGAATGTGGTCTGGACAGTGTTGATTGGTGGTGTGTTGGTCAAGAAACTACGTGCAGGCTCGATAGAGGATGTCAGATCTGACGGTGAAGACTTATCTGAGGACAACATTAAAAATGGTACTAAAACTGAATAACATTATTACGTGCGTGTACCTGACAGCAGTTAGTCAATGATACACCAAGAAAACGAGGTAGGACTAAATGATATTAACAAGACATACATAAGATACACCTGCACAAATGCAGAAAACGCCTTCAATGATCATAATGTTCCGCGTAAAAATGGAGGAACAGTGCAGCAGGCCTACTGGCCAGAACTAGGCAGGTCTTCCTTAAACCCAAACCCACTTAACCTTAAGTAACAAAAGGCACAATACCGTGACTGGCTCCTCCCTCTTACTTCCCCACTACTACTTACTTCCACCTCCGCTGCTACTGCTACTACCACTACTACTACTACTACTACTACTACTACTACTACTACTACCACCACTACCACTACCACTACCACCACCACCACCACTACCTCTTCCTGCCTATACCCGTCCTGCTCTACTTCTGGTTAGTGTGACTTTGTAAATGGTCCAAGTCGGACCGAAACGTCGTCGTAAGCTCCTCTCTTCTATGTGCGGGTTATTTGTGTACCACTTAACTTTTTCCCAAAGTTACCCAAGTATTTGCTTCAGTACCTAGTTATTTCTAGTTTTTGATTCGATATCCTCAGTAGTGTATATCAACGAACAGCTTACGCACCGATTGTATAGGAGAGCATAATACCTCCGACTATATGCCCTATTAGTAATATTAAAAACGTAACTGTATGGGCCAGTAGGCCTGTCGCAACGTTCTTCCTTTCTTATGTTCTTATAATGTTCTTGACCCAGCCTCCAAACTGGGAAAATTGTTACTGCACTTCTCCAAGACCTGTCATTTAGTACACTGTCAGGCTTGTTATTTACCTTCCAGTTTTATGAGAGATGGACTCTCAGGGAGATCTGTAATACTCTACATATCCTGATATGTTTAGTTTGATCTCACGATCTCTTGAGTAAGAAAATCGTTGCTGACTGTTATGTATTATACTTGCCTTGGGATGTTATTTATTTGACATAGTACTTGTGTTTCATGGTATGGTAGTCCCACGACCATTAGCGATGTCTGCTCATTTATACAAATTATGACAGCTCCTATGTCTGGGACTGGCACTTTTAATTTATTATTAACTTGTAATGTGCATATTACACAAAAATCACAACTAGTCAAAATGTGCTAAGAGTTATGCTGATACAGATGTTGAATGTTATGTTTGTAGGCGTATGTGTAATTAAGGAGTGAGCGGCATAAAACAACTTCCTATACAAACCATATATGATTTTTAATATAGCGTATTTCACTTTTCATAACTAAGTCTAAATTTGCTGCTAATCTGATAATGTGTTGCTGCTGTGACTAGTGTATTGACTGTTGCTGTTTGTTATGCTACTTTTGGCGACGTGCCACTCTGGATATTATTTGCACTAGTCACTAGAGTAAGTATAACGGCATTCGCGTTAGGAGTAAGCATACTGTCAACGGAGAATAAAGGACAAACTTGAAAGTATAGGCTCCCCCCGTCACTACATTCCGCGTCAGGTGACTGGACCTCTGTGCACAACAGTCACAAGAAGTCGCATATTTTAGGCCGGAGCTCACAACAGCTGCAGCTCCTGGACCTGCTAGTACGCTTTACGGGTTGTGCAGCTAACAGGTAGGGGATTATATGATCACTTCTCGCCTTCCAACCCTCCCTCTTTCATTTGCTTGAGTTATGCATTTAGACACATTTGTAAGATCTCGTATCCCTGCAGGGTAACACATTGTTGGTATTTTGCACTCCATAATCAAGGTCTCACTGTAGTACTGTAAACAAACTTTTATTGTAACTAAACAATAAAGGTCCCCTCAGTAAGACAGCAAACAAGTCTCACTGTAACTGTTAACAAGTCTTCTCTGTAACACTAAGCAAGCACTTCATCACTTCTTAAACCTTCACTTTGTCACTGTAAAGACTTTTCACTGTAAGACAACAGTCAAAGCCTCGTTATACGAAGTCTAAAAAGGCAACATCCCCAACGCAGCATTAATTTTAGTGTACACAACAAACCGTTTTATTTTCAACAGGGATCGAATAATTTTTGAACACCGGTGTGTGTGTGTGTGTGTGTGTGTGTGTATATATATATATATATATATATATATATATATATATATATATATATATATATATATATATATATATATATATGCCTTACTAGTAAGGCTGATGCATGCAGGGGATGAGATGAAAAGCTGTAAGCCTTCTCCCTGAAAGCTAGCTGTCTTGGATCAACGTCTAGTGCAAGCTGGGCGCCAAGGTATTGGTCCAGTGTAGTGAGAATGGTAAAGCACTGCGTACCTTGTTCCAAGGTTCGTAGGTTCGAGTCTCCTTCGGCCAGAGATCAGTGTTTGTGTGTGTGTGTATATATATATATATATATATATATATATATATATATATATATACGTACACCTCACTACTGGAGAATGGATCTTCTATCAGTTATAAACTTGTATATATGATTTTTATAGTAAAGCATATATTTTTATTGCCAGTTTATTTATCCAGTATTTCAACGTAAAATAATCTTACTGTTGAATAATATTTTCGTTATGATTTTTTTAGTATATTGATCTACAGAGAACATTGTTGGATATTAGACATTACACTGTCGAACAGGAATTATTGCCTCGTGAAACCTGAGTTACGATATTCGCAGGTCTACAAGTGTACTTGTGGTTTACACAAGTTAGGTTAAGATTCGTCAGGAAAGAGGACAACTGTTTCTTAACGTGGATCACGTACTGGTTATATGACCGAGTCTGTCCGCTGGCTGGCTTACTCATCCAACCCTTGAAAAATTTATATTATTTTGTTGGTCTCAGTGCAATATAATGTATATTAGTGCAGCAGCAGTGTATTGTAAGAGCAGTGAAACATTGTATTATTCACAGTGCAACATAATAAACAGTAATCCAGTGCAGCAGTATATATTAGTAGTAGTGCAGTATAATGTGTGTTAGCCATGTGACAACACTCACTGTCATTCACCATTTTGACTATTGACAAAAGTCATCCATTAGGCTTACTAGTGTGTTTACGATGTGAATTAAGTATGAAAGTAAACTTGTATTTACTCTATAATATTCGTAAAACCAATCCTTAAATTTATTCATTTTCACTGTTTATAATAAGTCGATTTTCAATTACAGTTTAAATTACAAAAATTCAAAATGATGAGTTGAGAGGCGCACACTACACTTGAACGTCACAGAGGGTCCGAGACATTCAGTTAGGGCAAGCACGAAAGATTATGGTAAAAAATGTGGTTACAAATTGTCCATGGCGAGAAACAACCTCGAAAGATCAGGCTTAAGAGCAGCAGCTTCTGAGTTAGACTGAGGGAGCGAGAGAGTTACATGGAATCTACATGTTTTCTCTCCCTCATCACTGTGTGATTTATTCTTAGACCTATGAGGACCGGTAAGCCAGCTGAAGGTCTCAGTCAGATGACCAAAAGCTCCAACGGCGGGTCATCAGCTGACTAAGACCCGCGTCAGGAAACACTTGTTGTTTCCTGGCGAGTCTTACCTTACCTTAGGGCCTATGAGAATACACATTCACTTCCTCATCTATCCTGTACCAGTTCAGTGTTGTCCCACCTACCTACTTCATGATATCCACCTTGCCTGCTTCACCCTCCTCCATATCTTTCTATATGCCTCTTCAAAGCTAATAACCAAACACCAGTTCTGGCAATCAAAAGCTATGAGCTCTGTTATTATTACGGAATAGTGACATTCCAACATTAAACTCAAAAGCGAAAATGTATCCCACATTAAATAGCTGTGTTTCTTAACTGAATATTTTAGGGTAACAGGAAATGCAACCAGGCGGAATTCATTCCTCCTTCAGAAATAACTAACAAAATTCACTCCCGTTTCTCTCCATAACTAAGTCACTTCCTGGAGTTTAACTTGGAGGAGCCAACTTGTGCTAACCCGGCTCATCTAAAAGATAACAAAAACAAAATATCCTGCCTCTAACGAGGATGCACAACGAACTCCTAATTGAAACAAAAATTGTAAACAAATATGATAAAACAAATCCTAACTTTACTATCAGATTTCCTTGTCACACACGTTACCACCTTACGCACATCTCCACTACTTAAAAATGTTCATGTCTCAAGGTAATTTACTAAGTGAACGCTCGGGAGTTGGGAAGGGGTGTGAGAGTGATAAAGAATCTAAAAGTGAGGGTTGTCACAATGCTTTTTCCTGATGACACTTTGCTTTTGGGAGATTCTGAAAAGAAGTTGCAGAGGTTGGTGTACGAATATGGGAGGGTGTGTATGTAAAAGAAGAAAATTGAAAGTGAACATAGGAGAGAGGAAAGGTGATTAGGATAAATAAAAAATTAGGTAATGAAAGACTGGATATCAGATTGGAGGAAGTATGGAGTACATGAATATTTAGGAGTTGATTTGTCAGCAGATGGGTCTATGAAAGACTAGGTGAACCATAGAATTGACGAGGGAAAAAAGGGAAGTGGTACACCGAGGAGTCTGTGGAAACAAAAAAAAGTTATCAAGGAAGCAAAGAAGGAAATGTATGAGAGTATAGTGGTACCAATGCTTTTATATGGATGTGAAGCAAGTGTGGTGATTATTGCAACAAAGAGAAGGCTGGAGTCCTGTCTGAGGGCAATGTGTGGTGAATAATATGCAGAGAATCCGTACTTTGGAGATTAGGAGGTGAGGGGTTTCTAGAAGTATGGAACAAAATAGATTGACTTGGAGGGCAAATAAATCTGTAGTGGAAGGAAGCCGGTGTAGGGGTCGTCCTAGGAAAGGTTGGAGGGAGGGGGTAAAGGAGGTTTTGTGTGCGAGGGGCTTCGACTTCCAGCAAGCGTGTTAGACAATGAATAGAGGCAAATGGTTTTTATGACTTAATATGCTGTTGGAGTGTGAGGAAAGTAATATTTATAAAGGAATTCAGGGACTGGTTAGCCGGCCTTGAGTCCTGGAGGTGAGAAGTACAGTGGCTGCGCTCTAAAGGAGGGTGGAAATATGTTGCCGTTTGTGAACTGTACTGTCGGCACGCCTCTGGCAAGACAGTGATGGAGTGAATGATAATGAAAGTATTTCTTCTTTTCTCATTAACACTGATGTGTTAATGAGAAAAATCTCCATGATGCCAATCCTTGTTATATCCCTTTGTTTTCCTCTTTCCATTCCTTATTATCTTTGTCCCTCCTCCATTCGACTTTCGTAATGACATGTCCCAACAGCAAGACAACTTCGAGAAGACTCGAGGATCCAGGGTACTGGAGGTAGAACTCGTCATGAGGTTAGAACCAGAGAACTGTCGATGTGAACAAAGATAGATAGGTTGTTAGAATGACTCCACAACATTGATGGATTCAAAACCCAGAGCTTTTTTAAATCTTTAGAGGAAAGGAGTCGAGTGCACCTCTATCGAACCTCACTCCTTGGTCCTGGCCTGGCCGCAATCGGGCGAGCTGTGCTGAATAATACAGTATTAATGCGAGAGACCCCATTCACACTGCCATCGGCTTGTTTAAACCATATTTCTCAATATATAAAAGAAAGGTTTGACGCGATAACTCAAAAATAATAGTAAATTTGACTAACAAGTGTTGTGTGACTGCTGTTAAGTATGAGTCCTTTGCAGTGTACCTACTCCTACTTTTGTATGGATAGATCTTTGGTTGCACCATGCTCCTCTCACCTTATATGTTAAGATATTTTTAAACTAAATTCATGTCACTAGGTTGTGATTAATGACGATAAGAGAGGACGTCCGGATAACACTCTCATGCAAGTATGTCATCTTAGGTCCAGGGGTCGCCATCCTGTCGCGCTCTATTTAGAATATCCATGAAGATATATACTATAAACTATGTAAATTTTCATTTACCAGCAGTATGATTCAATTAAGTAAAAATGATAAAACTGTATACCGAAGCACAACTCGGTCACAGCTATATACCTAAGTTCACCTCAACTATATACTGAAGCTCACCTCAACTATATACCTAAGCTCGCCTCGCAACCATGCAGAAGCTCACCTCACAATTATATACCTAAGTTCACTTCACATCTATATACCGAAGCACACTTCAGTTACAACTACCAAAGTTCACCTCACAGTCACAACTATATCCGAAGTTCACCTCAATTATAACTACCAAAGCTCACCTCACAACCACAACTATATACCGAAGCTCACCCTACAACCACTACTATATACTTGCCAAAACTCACCTCAGTCGACCATATGCGTAAGCTTACCCCAGCTACAACTATATACCTTGCAAAGCTCATCTCACAGCCACACCTATATACCGAAGCTCACCTCGGCCACAACTATATACCGAAGCTCACCTCAGTAACTGTATACCGAAGCTCACCTCAGTTACAGCTATACCGAAACTCACCTAAATTACAACTCTATGCTGAAGCTCACCTCACAGTCACAACTATATACCGAAGCTCACAGCCACAACTGTATACCAAAGTTCACCTCACAGCCACAACTAGATACCGAAGCTCACAGCCACAACTGTATACCAAAGTTCACCTCACAGTCACAACTATATAGCGAAGGTCACCTCAGCTACAACTATATACTGAAGCTTATCTCACAGCCACAACTATATACCGAAGCTTGCTTCACAGCTATAACTATATACCGAAGCTCACTTCAGCCATAATTATATACTGAAGCTCACCTCACAGCCACAGCTTTTCAAATGAGCTACACAGTAATTAGGTCATGTGTGCACAGGTATTCAATTCATTATGTGCCTCGGTTAAGTACGTTAACTGATCACTATGAGGAACACACTTTAAATAGGCCACCTGGATGTGCTCATACAGTTCAAACACAAATAGTGAAATTAAGAATTTAGGAGACAAGTGGATAAATTAGCTTAATAGGTTGAATTGACAAGTAAACAATGAAAGTGGAATGACAGTTTCATGAGTGGTGGATCGGCTCTTATGCATTTAGAGGGAATAAGTAAGTTTATTCAGGTATACACAAATACAGTTACATAGATTATCATACATAGCAGCATATTTGTAGAGAACTTAGGATAACCCAAAAAAGTTAGACAGAGTGACTTATTTCCACTGGGGAATATCAAATTGAGTAGTACTCTCACACAGACTGGTAGGCACAGTGAGGACTTGCACTCCCGTGTGTAGTTTACGTTGTTAATAACGGTTGAGACAATTGAAAGGCTATAATCAAATGTACAGTCTCCCCAGTGTGGCTCTCCCAGACCACGCTCCATCAAAAGATATCCTCGAAGAGCATTACTACTGTACTTACAGTAATCGAATCATTAAACCTGAAATTAGTCAACCAAAATCTTGCTCAAACTGCAAGACTTCCTCGAAAATGACAAAACAAATTGACGAACATATAACAAACACTAGACTCAGCTTATTACAATATTGAGTCAGCAGCCTCAGAGGAAGTGATAAGAATCGTGCTTCACAAGTTACCTCCTAGATATACCTTTGATAGGTTTCGAGAGTTTTTTCTACTCCCGAAGTTCCGGCCTGGGCCAAGAGATCAGAACACACACACTGATTCTCGGCGTGACTCACTGCACATCTTGTGTTTTGATCTCTTACTAGTTAATAGTGTACTATTATATTCAGATAACACTCCTCCCTCTATATTCTGATTCCTCTTCGAATTTCTTTCTTAAATTGACATTTAATTTCAATGTCATATAATTTATACTGTGGAGGCTTGGCCCAGGGCGGGACTTGGGCAGTAGATAAACTCTCGAAACCTATCAAAGGTATATTTAGGAGGTAACTTGTGAAGCAAGATTCTTATCACTTCCTCTGAGGCTGCTGACTCAATATTGTAATAAGCCGAGTCAAGCGTTTTTGTCTTCGTGTATGTGTGTGTGTTTGTGTGTGTTTGTGTGTGTGT